CTGCTTGGTGAATTTTCAGCACACCAGCCAGAGTGGAACCAGGGAAAAGAGGTAGAGTTTCCTGCCTGGTGTTAGCTGAGGAAGGAGAACTCTAATACTTCGAATGCTTCCAATCCATTGTCAGAAACTATAATTGTTGCATGAGTGTATCCATAAATATGGTTTAGGAAAATGCCTCAAATTGTTTAATTTCAACAAAGACAAATGCCTATTGTCTGAATCATTGTGACTGTAGCTGATAAATGTTCCATCTTTGTGGTTATAAAAACACCCACTGTAGGAATGTGATTTGTAGCAATAAAAATGACAGCAAATGGCAAGACTGACTTACCTGTGTTATGCTCACAACTGAAATATTTGAGGAAGAGGGAGACAAATGAGATGAAATGATTACAAATCCATGAAGTAACACTTATGGTACTCTTTACACTTATTGTATACTATAATCAGTGTTGCCTAATTTTGGCTGTATATTTTACCTTGCTCTCACTTTTTGTGAGAGAGTATTTTGTACTCAACTTCATTTCTTTTTAATAAAATCCTGGTAACTGAAAAGTGGCTTTTTTGGCAGAGTTTTATTTTCAGGTACCTGTTGTTAAACACTGCCTAAATCTTTGTTCCTCTAAAATGTTAACTCCTAATGAATATTCAGTTAATCTCTTCTAAGAAAGATACCTGTTCCTATCTGCCCAAAAGGAAATCAAATGCTAATTGGTCAGCAAAAGATTAACCTTAAATTGATAAAAGGCAGAGGATCCAAGAGAAAATAGCATTTTGTGGACCAATATGATTAAGCTTGTACTTCAATCCTATAAGATGCCCTAAACAGGTGGATAGAACTCTGTGAATCTGCAGATATCTGTGGATCATTTTTGCAGATGCAGATACCAATTCTGTATCTGAAGAGGGCTCTACAGGTGGACCCTGCAGGGCTGCTAGGGTTGCACTTCACCTGAGCTAACCTTTCCTGAATATCTGGTTTTCAATGTGGTACTGCATTTTATGTAGCCAACTTTTGTAGCTGGTTGTATGATGCAAAAAGATGAACTGT